TAGATGCTCAATATCACTAATTATTAGAGAAATGCAAATCAAAACTACAATGAGGTATCACCTCACACTGGTCAGAATGACCATCATTAAAAACTCTACAAACAATAAATGCTGGACAGGGTGTGGAGAAAAGGGAACCGTCTTAACACTGTTAGTGGGAATGTAAATTGATAGAGCCACTATGGAAAACAGTATGGAGGTTCCTTAAAAAACTAAAAATAGAACTACCATATGACCCAGCAATCCCACTACTGGGCATATACCCAGAGAAAACCATAATTCAAAAAGATACATGCACCCCAATGTTCATTGCAGGCACTATTTACAATAGCCAGGACATGAATGCCAATTAATTTTTGACAATGGAGAGAAGATAGTCTTTTCCAAATGGTGGCACAGAACAACTGGATAACCATATACTAAATAAATAAATAAATAAATAGCTAGATTCCTACCTCATAGCATGAACAAATTGTAACTCAAAGTGAATCATAGACATAAACATAAAAATTAAAACTATAGAACATCAAAAAGAAAACATAGAAAAACTTTGTGACCTTAGGTTAGGTAACAAACTTAACATATTGCTTAGTACAACAACAAAAGCACAAAGTATAAAATAGATTGGACTTCATCAACCAAGAACTTGTGCTGTTGGAAAGATGCTAAGACATGCCAAAAACTGGTAAAAAAAAATTTGCCAGTCTGATACCTGCAAAAGGAGTTCTATATAGAATATGAAAAGAACTCTTAAACCTCAATAACAGCTCCATAAAAATGGTAAAATATTCTCACACTCTCTTCACCCAAGAAGATATACAGATGGAAAATAAGCAAATATAAAGATGCTCAACATCAGCAGTCATTAGGGAAATGGAACTTATAACAACAAGATTCTAGAGTACCTGCTTATCGTAATCACTAAAATTAAAAAGATTGACCATATCAAGTGTTGCAAGAACTCTCACACTGGGATGATAGAAATGTAAAGTGACACAACCATGTGGAAACAGTATGGCAGCTTCTTAAAAAGTTAAACATAAAACTAACCAGATGATCTAGTCATTACACTTCTAAGTATTTATCCAAAAGAAATAAAGCAAATATTCATAAAATACATATATACAAATCTTCATAGAAGCTTTATTTGTAATAGCCACAAGCTGAAAATAACACAAGCATCCACCAAAAGGTGAAGGATATGCAAGTTGTGCCATCTACACACAATAGAATACTGCTCAGCAATGAAGAGGAATGGATTCTTGATCATTGTAACAAGGATGACACTCAATTTAATGTCAACTTAATTATGCTGAGTGAAATTAACTAGACTAAAGGAGAACATAATGTTAAGAGTCTATTTATATAAAACTTTGTAAAAGTGAAAACTTACTCTAGTGATAGAAAGCAGATCAGTAGTAGTCCAGTGATAAGTGTGGTATGAGAAGAGGCTGGGAGGAGAGAATACAAAAGAACACAGGGAAGATTTGAGGGTGACATATATGTTGATGATCTCGACAATGCTAATTAATGGTTTCATGACTGTATATCTATACTTGAGAACTTTTCAAAGTTATACACTTTAAACATGCGAGCTTATTATATGCCTATTATACATCAGTAAAGCTGTTAAAAAAAATTGGCAGCCCTCACTGACCTAAAATAAAGATCAGATATTTTTCATAGTATGAGAGGTCCTGCATGATCCTACTCCCTGTCTACCTCTCCAGTCTCACCTTGAGCCACTCTCTGCTCCCACTTTTTATATGCCATCATAATTGGTCATTTCATTCTTCAAGGTATTGTGGTCTTTCCCATCTGGGGGCCTTGCAAATATCATTCCCTCTGCTTTCCCACACTTTGCCTAGTTAGCTCTCTTTCATCCTTCAGTTCTCATTGCAATACTTCCCTCAGAAAAGATTCATCAAACACCCTAAATAGTTGAGGCTTTCATAGTAAGAACTTTCCCTGGCACTCTCTACTTTTTCTTTTTAAAAATTTGTCACAAATTTTATTTAAAATTTTGAGTAAATTTTCAATTAATGTCTACACACACCACAAAAATAGAATAATTTACATATATTATCAAGTTAATACTGTTAAAGAACTAGTTAGATATAATTATGCCAGTTTTACATATAAGGAAAGAGACTGAGTAATTTTAAGATCACACAAGTACTCGTCAATGGCAATGATTTGAACGCAACCTTCTCTGACTTTAAAGCACACAGTCTCAATTAGTGATTAATGATTCCATGATATAATATCCATTATGATAGGATGCCAGAAAAAAATCTAATCTGGAAGTCAAAGCATGATCTCTAAATAATATGGCAGCAGGTATATAGGTGGTATTCCCAGACAAGCACTTGGAAGGGTCTAAAATAGGTTGTACTGTCTGACAGGTAAGCCATACATGGAAATGGAGAGTCCAGAAAATGATCCTGAAATTTGGAGATCAAGATAGGCATCAGGAAGTTAGCAATGAATCCTTGCAAGATAGGATAAGCACAATGGTATACTAGGTAGATTGTGGTACTGGGCAAGTTACCAAGACAAAGATCCAGTAACTAAGTGCAAGATGAGAACCAAGACATCTCCAGGTCGAGGCAGAAACTTGTGGAGAAATTTAGAGACCAGAAGTGAGTAAATGTGCCTTGATACTAAGTGCTAGAATGCTGGTTTGCGTTTCTAAAATTACTCCCTGTCCACAACAGACCATCACCTTACCACTCCCTTATTACCCCATTCCAAGTTCAAGGATGTCTCAGAAGAATTAGTCTACAAATCTGAAGATTCCAAATGTAGGAGTCACATGATAATAGCATAGGGCAGAAGACAAAGAAGCTGGAAATTGCAAAGAAATATTAATTCAGTATTCAATTATCTCACTATTTGTTTGCAATAGCCAGATGTTATAATATAAATTGCATTCATTGTCTATTCTTTTTTTTTTTCCTTTCTAAATTAAAAAAAGAGCTTATCTGATAAGGATTTGCAACTTGAATCAGTAGACAGGCTTTTGGTTAAATGACACTGTCACTTGACAGGTAAAAAACATCATGGTATTCAAAATTCTTCATCCTCTAAGTGGATCAGTGGCCTAAAGTACAGGAGTGTTCATAAACTATCTTTGTAATATATTGCTTCCTGTCAGTGAGAAAGGACTTATCTTAAATTAAGAGCTAAAATACTACCAATATCTAAGATACATTTATTTGTTTAAAGGGGGTGACATGTTTCTAAGATACATTTATTTCTTTAAAGGGGGTGACATTTTAAGCCAAACTTCTCACCTTCTAGATTAGAATTTACACCAGTCAGTAAAATGTAGACATTTTCACAATATTAACAATCAGCACAAACTGTAGTAATTTAGCTATATTTCAATAAAGTGTGTCATTCTCACAAAAGAAGGCTTATTTGTTTATAAAAAGTATAATCTTTGCTTTCAAATAAATCTTTGTGTAGCATGTGTATCTTCATGATTGAAATGGAATAAATACATATATTCCATTTTTATAGAAATAGCACTATCTAAATAACAAACAGAATTTTTCATTGACCATCTTAAATGGATTATATAACTTCAGAGACCACTGTGTTTTCCAAATGTCTCATTAATATCCCTGCTAGACATAAATTACAGTCAAATCCTCTATTCCTAGTTTGGCTTGCTTCTAAATTTGGCTCCCTTCTCATACATTGTAAATCAAATTTTATCCATATTGAAAACAGTATGATGTTTTTAAACTGGTCTCTTTATGGATAATAATATGTAAGTATAAATTAATAAGCAATATTCAGCAGCCTAGAATCTAATCCAATTGTTAAATGTTCAATGCTATCCATAACCATCAGTTCTGGACTGATTGGAAAAACTGAATACATATTTTAAAATAACATAAAGGATGTTGATAAACTGATTTAGCCATTATTCTTGTATCTTAAATAGTTTAGTGTTATCATGTTGCCCTGCAACAAACTATTCTTTTCAGAACTAGGAGGATCCAATTTTAGGATTTTAAGTTCAGTGAGACCTTTCGTTTTCTACCAAAAATAGCACAGACTGTTACTTCCTCTTTCCTAAAAGAAGTCAGTCTAAATTCTAGTGGCATATCAAATAAAATCACAACAGCCATTTCTGTTATGTCTTACGTTGCTTCAGTAGGTCGATGCACTGGTGAAATAATAGGTTATACTTCAGGAGCATAAGAGGGAGAAAAGGACAAAAATTCTAATTAAGTTTGATATCCTTATATTTCTGAAATGATGAATACACAGGAGAATATGGTAATCCTGAATGTCAACCTCATTTTCACAGAACTTCTAAAAATTTTTAATAATGCTTTAATTTCTCACCTTCATATAAGACTCGAGATCCAGTTTTGATAAAGGTCTTAAAAGAGCCCAAATGTAAACTCAGATGTCATGTTTTTATGTTTGAAAAGTGCAGTATAAGCAGCCCAGGTTTCAGGTATCAGGTCTGTCACGCCCTTGCTACATGGGTTGCACTGCAGAGAAACCACCATAAATCATCTCGAGGCTGTATACAATTAATTTTATGTTTGTACTTATCCTCCTCTATGTTTTTATGCTGTTTCTTTTTATATTTGATTTTTGAGGTCATTCTTGGTTTGAGGTGAAATACCTCAAGCTTAATATTAAAATAACATTGGTGATATTATAGTATAAGTTTTAATAACCAAATTCAGGGTCACCTTTTTTTCCACAAGTTTTAAAAGGAACTGTCATAAAGTTGTCAAAAGAAAAATAACCTGTAACTCCCTAACCCTTTTAAATATAAGAAGGTATTATGTGGATTTATTGCATAATTTCTTGAAGGGCAAAACATTTCTACTATCACTGCATATTTTCACAGTGATCGTTTACCTTATTTATTATTACTTGGAAGTGGTTTCAGACTTCATGAGAGTTTCTTACCACTTACTTGATTTGCAGTAAAACAGGAAAAAAAAAAACTTTTTAATAATTTTCAGAATAGTTATTCTTCCAGACGGGAGTCTACGGATCTTAAATGCTTCTAAATCAGATGAGGGAGAGTACGTTTGCCAAGGGGAAAATGTCTTTGGTTCTGCTGAAATCATAGCTTCCGTTTCTGTGAAAGGTAAGAAAATGTGACTAAATGTTTTATAAGCATAGTTTCATGGCCTTATCAGAAAGTGAATAAATATAATGTGCATGTATGTGTATTTGCACGTATGTGTGTGCATGTTCCTGTTCAAGATATATATTGTACACAAAGAACTAACACTGTCGAATTGTCCCTTTCCATTATTTAGGGGACTATGAAGAAAGGAACACCTTGTTGGTAGAAATTTAAATATTATGCTCTGAACAAACTATGTGGGAGTGTAAAGAAAGCTTTCTGAAGTTTTAGTCGATGTCTCAAAATTTAAAAGTATGCCAACAGTATAAAAATATTTTTCTGAATCAAGACTAATTTTAGCATCAATCAGTAATATTCCTTTGTTACCACTTCAACTGGGGATTTGGGGCAAAAAAAAGAGTAGCAGAAGGAGGACGTGAACATGTGGTGTTGAAATATACATCAGATGAACTGACACCAGAGCTACTCTTTGATTTCTGCATCAATGGAACTTTTATACACTGTAACTTTTTAGTAGTATAAATATTACTGCTTAAATGTTTCTGTTAGTTTTATAGTTCTAAAGTGAACTAGATTCCAAGTCTAGAACCTTCTTTTGAGACTACCTGTCATTGTTCAGTACTAAGAAAATCTCCTATCTTAGACATTCTCTTCATTTGGTAAAGGAATACTTTTCACGATGAAGTATATCACTAATTTTTTCCATTTGTGCATGTAGTATATAATGAATCATACTTTGGCCATAAAAAATATAGTAATGTTCATTTTCCCCTTTCTTTAGAAAGAGAAATTTAATTAAAATAGCCAGCACTCTGATATTTTAGAAAAGAGGCAAACATCCAGGGAAGGAAGGAATATAATTTTTAAAATGTCTTCACTTATAGCATACATTACTGGAATCCAAGTCAATCTTCCAGTCCAGGTCTCATTCCTTGTGTGTGCTAAACAACGTTTATCATAGTGAGGCAATGCTGGATCCACAGACTTTTTAAATTTAATAATAACAAAAATGTTCTCTGTTAATCACAAGTTAAGTGGAATATTTAGTTACTCAGAACATTCCAATTCTCACAAAGTTTAAACTGCAGTATGCTGTGATGACCTGTCTTCTCTGATGAAGCCAGAATTTAGAATGCCACACAGAATATTTGACTTCCAGAATGTTAATATTTACTGTGGCATTCCTTTCCTGGTATCGCTCTTTCTGAGACTGCTTTGAAGGATGCTGCATATTAAAGGATCTTATCAGTGGTTAACAATGGTCCTTCATCAGACTATGCTATTGCAAACAGTAGAGCTGAAATAGGAAAATTAGGATAATTTTTCATCTGTGTCAGGCTTCTTGAGGTACCTACAATCAGGAACCTAATTAGGAAAAAAGAAAGTATCAAAATCCTGTCTCCATCACCTCCCTACTTTATTAAAAAAAATATCATATTGCTGTTGTTTGATCATTAGCTTAACTAACCCTTAGATGTACAGCTGGTATTAGCTTTTATTGGGTTAAAGTTGCTCTAAACCCAGTAAAAATGTATCTATTTTTAAAAAATTTAACTGAATCATTAAATAATTAATGTAAACATTTTTTCTCAAAAAACATTTCTATTCAATATTTTGCCTTTTTTTTAGATCTCAATTAAAGCATCCACAGTCTATCAAAGGGGATATTTTATAATCAGCCAGAGGTGCCTCTTCTACTCCTCTACTTACAAGGTTTTGTAAACTATAAAGTGAATACAAGCTGGTATAGTAGTAGTAGTATAGTTTTTATCTCCTTTAAGATAGTAATTTGAAGGGATGTGCTTCACATAACCTTTAAAGTGAACTCACTTGAATTATTCCTCCTTAGAGGTGAAGAATTTTTTATTGTAAAAATTCTTTTATTTATACTTGATGATCCTTGAAGGTGGACAGGGAGGCTACAACTTCTTTTTTCTAATGTTCTTCCTTCCAGAGTACCAATTGCTCTTTCTACTTATGTAGTCTTTCCTCTTTTTCATCCAAGCTGACTTCTTAACAGGAATAGGGACTTTTAAATCATCTGTTCCCTACAAATGCCTAGTTAAAATGCCCTAACATACAAAATGGTAATATTTCAATAATAATAGTTTATTAAAAGACATGTATCTGGAGCAACTATATTACATAGATTCCTTGTCTAATTTTTTCTCTATTATTTAAAATACAGAATGAAGGTGAAAACTATATGTTATGCTAATTAACATATTTTTATTTCTATAGAACCTACAAGAATAGAACTTACTCCTAAAAGAACAGAGTTAACAGTGGGAGAAAGCGTCGTCCTTAACTGCAAAGCAATCCATGATGCTAGTTTGGATGTCACTTTCTACTGGACACTGAAAGGACAGCCTATCAATTTCGAGAAAGAAGGTGGACATTTTGAAAATATCAGGGCTGTAAGTTAATAAAATTTTATTCTTTGAGTAATAATACTTTTAGAAATTTAGACTCAAATGTAAAAACTTTCTTTTCCATGAAATGTTAAGGAAAAATTAGGACAAAATTCAAATTGATTCAAACAATTATTTTATTTCATTATTTTATGTTATGTCAAACCGAAAATAATACTTATTTAAAACTCCCCCAGTAAGAAATTGGGAATACTTGATTATGCAGATCTGGTTTCTTTGCCATTTTTTTCTATTTGATTAGTATTGTCAATATTTACACCTTACTTCTCAAAAGTTAAGTGGCTACATAAACATAAAAGTGTTATTTAAAGCATTCTTAGCAATTATGATACAATAAATAAATGAAATAAGCCTGCCTGTCCTACTCCTGAAGAAATAGTAATTCTTAGAGATTCTTTAATCTCTCACAGGCTATAGAGCTTAAACATGCAACCCAAAGTCAGAAATGCACATTAGCCCTAGACAAACATTCACAGACATGCTCATTTCTCATCTGCCAAATCTTTCCTTGTAATATCTTCTTTTATATATCTATGTAACAATCAACTGAATGGAGTAAGAAATCTTTTGAACCAAATTCTACAGTATGATCATAGTGTCTTAACAGAGAAGTAGAAAAATGATCTTTCCCCCCACTGGCTTTTTTAAAACATAAAAGAGTAACATAATGATGGAGAGAGACAAGGGCAATGGAACTCGGGTGGCAGAGAGAGATTTTGGCTGAAATATCTCTTCTATATTGGTTAAAGAGGTGGATCTAAATACAAACTATGCCTACAAATACAATTTAAAATGCTGCCACATGCTTATTAACATCAGTTTATTCTTCTGTAAACATTATGGGAAGCACTGGTAGACCACAGCTGTAATGAGCCCAAACATATAAAACTTGGCTTGGATTGAATTTTATTTTAAAGGTAATGTGATACAGTGGGAAAAGTCCTAGACCCAAAGTAAGGAATTTTCTGGGTCAAGACCCAGCTCAGTCTTTAATCAGCTGTGTAACAGAAAGCCAGTCACTTGATTTGCCTTGGCATTAATCTCATAGAGCACTAAAGTGAGGGAGTTGGACCAGATAATTTCTAAGACCCCTTCTTACTCTAGAATTTGATAAATTTGTATTAGCAGAATAGTAAGAATGAAGTTTCTTTGTTGCTTTTGCCAATGTAACTTAAAGTAAACATTTTCTTCTAAATTATTCCTTTCATCCTGATTTACTTTTCAGTTAATGAGAGACTGTATAAATAAGAAAAAATTACCCAACTGCATTATTCACATCTCATTAAATAAATCAATTTTGTCAATGGTTATGTTATATACAAAATATTTAGATCATGTTAAACTCATTTTCCTCGAATTTGCGATTTTTCTTTTTTATTTACCTTGGGTCGATCATAGCTTCAAATTTTGAACAAATTTTATTCTATGAATGTCATAAAACAAAACCAGAAAAATATGACACAAAAATATTACATTTGAAAACAAAAAAGTATACCATCAAAAATATTTCTTCTTAGGATTACCTGTAAACATTCAATTTGAGTGATCAGAAATATAAAGAAAAAATATGTCTAAACTAAATTTTGGTTTTACTTCATAGAAGCAGGCTCCCTCTTTATTTTAAAATATCAGTAGAGAAATTAATGGTCTGATAAATTATATGAATTCTTCTTTTTGTCTCTTATATGTTATCACTTTAGTTTCAGGTCCATTCATTTGTATAAATAAATACCTTTAATCCTTTTCATAAGGTTGGCAGTTAATAATACCTGCTGTATCTCTCTTTACACATATGCTATTCCTGCCCTTGAGAATTACAAAATTGACTCCTTACTCCATGCAAACCTATATTTCTACAAGCCATAATAAATTAAGCTCAGTTTGTAGACAGTGATAATAAACTCCAGAATAGAAAAATAAAGCAAATTAATATATTGAGAAGTGAGAAAAATATTTAGCTTAAGGTTATGTAGAATATATCACTTTAGCTTATTTAAAAAAATTAATAGAAATATGTTTGTACTTAAAATATTTGGAAGCTTCAGAACTGCAAAGTTAGAAGAAATTGTCTATTCCCTCTACCCCAATTACCTCAAACACTGATTGGGTCCTCGTTGGCTTCAAGGACATACATGGGAGAGAATCCCATTCTGTGACTTGAAAAAGTCAGAGAAAAAAAAGAAAAACATTCTATCCCCATCCTGCTCTTCACCTTATGAAATATAATATGTCTGAGAAATAACATGTTTTAGAAGGAGAGATGAAAGTGTTATAAAGAAATGAGATTTGGGAACGCCTCTGGTCATGTGGATACTTTCTGTTTGAGAGGCCAATTGAAGACTCTAAGAATAAGAGGGCAGGCCAGGGCTCAGAAGAGAGCCTAATGGGGTGATCTATGGTTTGCTTTGAGTTTCAAAGGAGAGCCATTGAAGAGACCTTAGGGGTCTAGGCTGGTCCAACAGAGAGTAAGAAAGCCCAGCAGGATTCGGGACTTAAGCAGGAATAGAGTGTGCCTTTGACTGAAGTACTCTTTAGGTTAACTAACCTGGCCCTAACCCACCAGTGTGTGATTGAATGGGGGTGAATCAGAAGAGAAAGGGGGGTATATATTTCAAGCATATTAACACTGCATAGTGTCAAATGAATCAACCAAATCTCTGAAAAAAAAAAAAAAAACAGATACCAATTGCGTTGATACTTTCCATCTTGTAGTGCCAAAATATAGCTTAATGAAGTTCTCTACTTTTCAACTTGTTATAGTGATATCTTTTATACACAGCCATTGGTCTACAGATGAAGCTCTAGGAAAAATTTTATGTGTAACTTTTATAACACCTATAGACAAGGTATATTTATGTTTTAAATAAAACAGTGCTTTTGGACTGCAAGAGAGTGAATAAATAAACATATAATCACATCAGGTTAAAAGAATAATACCTATTGCTTTGAAATCTATAATGAAAATGCTTCTATTTCTCTTGCCTCTTGACTTAGGCCATGTTTTACAAACCCAGCAATTTGACTGATTTTTGGAGTGAATCCATTATTGAAGCCACTGTTCAAAGGGTCCAAACAATCTATTAGTCTGTAAACATTTGATCCAATTCACCCAAATCCCTTTATTGGCAATGATATGAGTTAACTGAAGGTGGCAAATTAGTAACGCTATTCTCAAGATTTAATTTAGATTCAATTGTACAAGCAAAGGGCTGTGCAGGATCCAAGTTAAAATACATAGCCTTTCACCCCTAAGAGAGCACAGATTAAGGAGACAGACAGCAGAGTGGGCTAGTAATCTGCTATCACTTTGCTATCACCAGAGAACTCTACATACAGCTGGCAGAAGTATTTGGTATTTGAACTGGACCTGGACTGGTAGGATTTTGCCAGGTGGTTAGGAGGAGAAGCTGCATTTCAGACAGAGAGAGCAGGTGAAGCAAAGACGAGGCAGAGAGTTTAGAGCACATCTCGGGAACAGTGAGGAACCTGTAGCCCTGATAGCATAGTGAAGACACAGAGTAGAGAATAAGTCACTATTTGTTCAGTACATTTAAAGGAGAGCAGCAGAGGCCTCATTGTTAAAGGCACTGATTTCGGAGCCATGGAATTTGGGTTTTATTTGGAATGCAACAGGGAGCCATGTGACTCAGATTTGTTCTTTAAGAAGATAATTCTGACAGCTGTGTGGAGCAGGGGTTGAACATCAGGCGGACTTTACATTCATTCCAGGCAGGTTAAGCAGAGGTTACAATGAGGAATCGACCATTATAAGCTTCAGTCTTAAATAACCACCCTGTTATCAAATAATCATTTGCAATCATGCTTTGACACAATTGTGTTTTGACACAGTTTTTTATGTTGGTCAGAAGTCTTTGAGAACCTCTTAATACTCTCAGGATGTCTGAACAGCACCTGAACATGGCCGTGTGACTCCAAAGCCACAGTCTTAATGGAGGACTATGGTGATCCATTGTTCTCCAGAGACTTGAAATCCCTAATTATTCATTCAAGATGTAAGCTAGTTTTAATCCCTACAACGCATAAAGGTCAGTTACACTGAATATCATGGAAGCCTGTAATTTGTTCCTTTTGGAGCAGAGAAAAAAGCCAAACATTTGTAATCAGGAAGGTTGGCAAAAGAAGAATTGCCCTTTCCATTGTGAGCTCTCCAAATGTGATAAATTGCAACTAAATGGGCAACAAAATCAAAGTGCACTATTTGATGGTCCTTCATACTCAATCCTCTGGTTATAACAATACACTCAGGAAAGCAGAGTAGGGATGTTTGACTCCATTTTTAAATGAGGAAACAGAAGCATAAGACTTTTCCAGGCCACATGAATTCTAAATTGGGGTAAAAATATTAAATACACTGTGATTTTTAAACTACGTTATGTTGATTCTCCTTTATAAAGCTCACCCCCTGCACATTCATTGACCATTATGTGTTCAGCCCTTGCCTATAAACTGTGGGAAATAAAAATAAAAGGGAGATTTGGTTCTGGTCTTCAGTAAATGTAAAGATGGCATAGAGCATAAAGTAATTCAAGAAAAATATGACCATAAAACATTACTTTTTGTTAGAGCCAAATACTGTTGGAGACCAGAAAAGAGATTAATGTGATTTTTTTTATCATTGTGGAGAAAAGTGAGGAAAGGAATTAAATTTAGCACCTGCTATATGCCAAGCAGTCAGCTTTTATATATATATATATATATATATGTATATATACACACATACAATAGCTCATCAATTCCTTATAACAATCATATAAAGTAATATTATTTGGGAAGAAGGTGCTACCTGACCTAGACCTCAGAGGATGAGTAGCATTAGGATTGGAAAAGAAAAAAGAGAAAGTCAACCTTAGATCAGAAAAGATATTGTATCTCAGGGTTATGAGGGATCCCGGAGATTATTGACTTAGTCCTGGATTGGTACATGGATTCTCCATCAGTATCATCAGTATCCATTGTAATCCTTT